CGAGCAACCGTAGGCCACAGTGCCGCGTCTGAAGTGACATGACTGTAAAAACCGCCAGAGCATCTGCAGCGGCTTTTGTGTGAGTCGGCCTTGACAGGTGATTGGCCAGACGGATTGGCTACACAGACGGGTGTGGGCAGCCAGTGCATGTGTCCTCGTTGGCGGCGGTGAGCCTTGGCACATGCCTAACTGTGCGGAGCGAGAAACCACAAGTTCTCTGTAAATTAGCATATTATTCTTGAGATGTAGGAACTTCCTTTGCTTTTCTTGTAGTTTTTACACTGCCAGAACTGGAGAAGCGGCCCCTGGTACGTGTACCTCCTCAGGAAATCTTCCTAGTTCCGAAACCGGGATTCGGTGACTGGAGTTCTGCGACGGAGGAAATGCGTGAGAACTACGAACACGGGATGAGAGCGCTTCGGCGTACTGTACTGGAACGCAGTCTACAGCTGAAACCTGAGTTTTTGGCCTTTGACAAGTAGGCTTCGTCGCAATTATCCTATAACAGTTGTCTTTTACAAATAATCGGTGTTATAGTTTGGTTAAAATTTGCGAAGCTAGAAGGCACACTAACAGATATAGTGCGGCCATAGGACTTCTTTTCGTTCTCTGGCGTTCGATTATTTACGTTATTTCAACTCTAGACCACATACGTTTCCAGACTTCATAAAGTTATTGGCAAAAAACTAAAAGTAAGGATTACCTAGTAAATCATAGGTCATCTACAAAATCTACAAAATTGTTGCTATCTTCTTTGTTTTGAGTATAATTATGCGTCAATATTTAATCATCCGACGGCTATCTGAAACGTCATTAAACTTTCCACACATAAAGACCCATATTATAGTACAGAACGACGGTATCCCTGAGTTAACGTTTTTAACGTTTTTAGGATGCACGAATCGAACAATTAGTTAGCTCATTTGCGAGGAATCGTCAATACGTAAATATGCAATACATTTATTCAGACTTCAAGATAAAGGACGGCAATGAACTGCCCTCATCTATTAGTGCTCGTTTCCTTATTCGAGGTTTTAGGCATATTCTAGGAACTGTGTATAGCATTGCCGACGAGGACAAGAGAGACTGGAATGGTCATTTTTACCTGATTAATCGTCATCAGCCAGTAATACCCAGCCCCAAAGGGTGTCCGATCCGACGATTGAACCCGCGACCTCTTAATCAGAAGCTCAACGCCCTAACCCTTGAGCCATGAGTTCGTTGTCCTATTATTTAAATCAAGAGATAGTAACACTCGTTGATAAGCACTTACCGATCGGGAGGAGTGAGTTCAGTTAGCAATCGCTGAATGTAAATCAACGAGTGTCACTATCCCTCGATCTAAACCGACAAAACAACTAGTCTGTGGCTCAATGGTTAGAGCGTTAGACTTCTGATCAAACGGTCGCGGGTTCAATTCTCGAAGGTTACACCACTTGGAGTTGGGTATGACTGGCTGACGACGGCTACTGACGTAAAAAATGATTATTTCAGTCTCCCTCAGCAATGCTATACACGTATATTTCTTTCAAAAATCGTGAAACCTTGGATTAGGAAACAAGCGCTAACGCAATGAGTGAGTTCCGTTAGCGATTGGTGAACGCCAATCCACGGACCATACCTCTCCTTGCTACCTTAGCCTTTATGTCTTATCGTAATTTTAAAAGATTCGTCTGCTATTTGCATTTAGAGTATGGTCAGCATCCAATAAAGCAACCAGGAAACCTATGCGCAGAAGCACTTAGAACAGGGCATCGACCTTGTAAAGTTTTACCTCATTTATTGGAGATTAGTATCTTTTGAGGCATTGAGAATCTACTTTTATTCACTTATTTCACAAAACAGTCATGATAATTCTGTTAGTTAGTTTAGTAAATACCATAAAAGTCGAACGGAAAGGTTGTATTCACACCGCATTCTGCACTTACTGGCTGAATATAATCATACATTTCCTGTAAACATATCTCTAATCTTTGAACGAAATACTTCGTTTGGTAACAGAATTCCACCCAGGATTCTCGCCTTGAGTTAATACACTAGAATTATTATTTAAGAGACGGCAAACGCACGTGTTTATTTAACGTACAAAGGTCATAGTGTCGACTGTTTTTGGTGAAAAAAAATACATTTAAGTTCCTTGATTTGCGATGGAGCACCTTATTTGCAGTTGAAAAGTTTACATCATATTCACAATTTGCTTCCTTAAAAACAGCTCCACATGCTGTTCTACCTTTAGGCTACGAAGAGCAAATTGATTTTA